GCCCAACATCGCTACTCACGTGCAAAGAGCAGCCGATCGAACTCTGCGCTTCTGAGATCAACAGCCTTCCCTCTTTACCCCACCTGCCGTCCCCGCACACGGCTCCTGCGAACACACAACTACACGTTAAAACGAAGCAATAATTATTTCCATAACAATTGTTTTTAATGATTGTAAATAAATAAATAAATAAATAAATAAATAAATAAATAAATAAATAAATAAATAAATAAATAAATTACAATACATTTTCTTCCCTGAAATTAATGGCAATGGAAATTTGTACGTCAACATCGTTTATTCCGTTAATATCACAAGCACTGGAGTCTGAACACGAACTGGGATCGCGAAAATTCCCACTATGATAGTCTAGTCTACGGGTTGCCATTGTCAAAAAAGGATATTGGCATTTGTGGGTTTAATTTTCCCGTTTCCGACATTCAGGGCCACATTGGTGTGCATCAGACGCCAGCGAGCGATGGCGACCACGGCGCTATTGGCTCAAAAGCAAAAATTGCTGTACACAAAATGAAAGTGTCTACTATCTTCAACTCTAGAAGATTACAAAGAAAGGCCTAGCTCAATATTGCTCTACGAGTAACTATTTCTATGATTTGGGCGTACACGTGTCTGAAGAATGTAATATCCAGAACAGGCTGATTTAAGGGGCAGGTAGATACTGCCCTCACAACAAACAGCTGCTTCAGGACAATTAACTTCCTTGCTTCAAATCTGTGCTAAAGGACGGGATTTTTTTCGCCTTTTAAGTGGCACGGATTCTCCCCCCCCCCCACGTCGGACACTTTTCTGGTGGCCTGCTATACCGCGATATGCACTAGGAGAGTAATTGGCCACATGACATTTTGATAATATATATCTCCAAAAGTAAATGTTTTAGAAAAGTGATTTGTACATATGGCTTTCAAATAAATGTATCTTGCTCTGAGCCTTTCAGACTCCCTGCACGAAATTCTCTGATTTGTTTATCAATGAGGTGTTACTAATAGCATTCAGGGATTCTGCGTTGCGAGCTTCCTATTTGTCTTCTCAAACGTACACGCTGAGAATATCCCATTTTGTATGGTAGAATGGTTGGTAGAGATTCCAGGCGCGTCACGAGCGGTTATTAGTCCCGTAAGTGTAGTGCATTTCCCCTCGGATGGTGGCGGTCATCTTCCCCCCGCTGGATGGCGATCGGCACCGGCCTAATGTCGGTTTGTGGGTTGGCGCTCAACCAGGTATCTCCCACCAGCGGGACACCGCCCCAACCGGGACAAGCTCCGACTGGTTCGGGCAAGTCCGGCACATTCCGGTCGGTGTCCCCACATTTGGTAGTAAGGTGTATGTCGGTGTAAGTGTGTTTATGTAAGTGGTGAGGACAGGAAAAGTGGAAATGGAAGGCAAGATTGCTGAGCCACAACTCCTGGTCTAATTTTTTGAGCGAACGACTGTTTGTTAGTGAATTATGAGAAGTTGCCACTGGGTGCATCGGCCGTATAAGAAGTTATCGCCGTTTTCGACTTGTAATAATTCCATCATTTCCACTTTCCCGAACGCAGGGCCTTTTCAATAGGTAATCTGTGTACCGAGTCGTTCTACACCGCTTTCGCCCCTTTTTTGAAATTTAGGTACACAGTGAAATACGCTCTGAGAAGTTATGGGCTCACTGGCATCTATGTTATTTTACATCCGGTTAATTGATATATGGTTTATCCAACACATAATCTCTTCGATATTTATTTAAAATATTGAAACTTTGTATTTATGAACAAAATTGAACAAAAATATATAAGTGACTTTAGAAATAAAAACGTGTAATTTTTTTAAGGATTGATGAAATTTTAAAAAAATGTTTATAGATTTGATCTAAAAATTGTAATATTCGGTAGCCTTGAATGGTTTTAACAAACGAATATTTGTGAGATCTGTTTTTTAAAAATCGTCTGATTAAATAAAAAATACTAAAAAATGCATTTGTTTATATTTCACTAATATGGTGCCTTCCAAATTCAGAAACGTAAAATGCCTACAAGTAAAAGGCCTAACGAAAAATGATGAACTTCGAAAATAGTGAATAAGAAAAAGTATTATAATAAGTTTTCCAATGAATATTTCATTGAATCGCTCTGTTTTAGCGTGTGTGACAAAATCGTAATTCAACGGTTTAATTACACTTTAACACATTAATAATTGCTAAGAAAAATGCAATTCAATTCCTTTAAATATTTTCAAAAGTTAATGTAGATAATAATTTTGTGCTTCAACATTTGATAGTGACGTTATTTTTACTACTTTTTATGATGATGAAAACATTTTAGGGGAAAATTTTCAGTGAGGAGAAAATTTGTTCAATTGATTACTCTTAATGTACATAAATAATTCGAAATAAAATATTAAACATTGATTACAATTGTATATTGAATTGCGCCTAAGGTTACTTTTTTCCGGATGTTGAGTCATTTTACATTGACCGATCAGATTTTATATTTACGTCAAACTTTTTGTTACAAAATATAGGTTAGCCCCTTTATGTTATAATGCTATTTATAAGCATCAAAGTCTTTAATAATTATAGATAGTTTTAAATCAAAGGTTTTACCACAAATTTTGAGTATTGTGAAATTGTAAAGATTTTATGAAGTTTCAAATGGCTGTGTAATGGAAGGGAAAATTTAGTCACAAAGTTTTACCGTTTATTTAAAAGCCTCATATAATGTTTTTTTTTGCCACATAGAAATTCTTTTTCAGAGCATGTACTCAAAAATTCTGAGTTGCACTTAGGAAAAGATTCACGTTTGCATGTTGGCAGCTGCATACCCGTATGGACCATTCAGGATCAATAATAGTCATATTTTATCTCGTATAGTCCTCGATTTTTCACTGGAGTCAATAATAGAGAGACGATAATACGAGACTTTGGCCATAGAATACACTTCATCTCCGTGGGGCGGCCGTCCCAAATCATGTTCCTTGGCCATTACGATCACCGCTAATCCCTCAGATCTGATGGCGGTCACTCTGCCCTCTCCCCCAATTTATCGTCCTCGCTGAAGGCTTCAATATCGAAATTACTGGAGATATTGCTGGAGTGTGGAAGCCCCAATGAGGATAGAGCATCATCTGCTTCTGACCCGTTCAAATGCTAATTGAACGACAAGTTCGTTATCATCGGAATTGCGGAAAGATTCGATACTGCACACTTATTTTTCGTGTACTTTTTTACGGGAAGAATTCTTGCGGATGGACTTGGAAAACAAAACCTCCTACTAGTGTGCTACTACTCTATAGGGAAGGATCCTTGGCCTCCCTTAAAACACACTTGAAGAAAGGGAGAAAGATTAGAAAACTTTCAATGTGTAACACGCTATGGTAGTCCTTGGAAACATGGCCTTTAAAATAAGGATATCGTGACCGTCAAGAAACACGTGTTAATGTTCGTGTCAATCAACAAAATATAATTTTGTGAACGTGGTCTGAACATAGTTTATGGTAACCTCATTCTGTAGGACGGGTTTTCTGCAACGATAGATGGTTCGTTCAAGAATTATGCTATCTTTATTTTAAAAACACAGCAGGTTTTTAGTCCAATCTCTGAACAAAGAAATTCAGGGCGTCTAAAATTATATCGTAAACTACCTCTCATGACGTCAATAATCGCCCATGATATGGCTATAAAACACAATGAATTTAATTCATCGCTATTTTATAAACGAAATATGACATCATACCTGACGCAGTATTTTTCAGATATTTCAAATATTGTTTACTACTGCTTTTTTTAGTTTATTTTCAATTCATTATCAGAAAGTGCAGATTCGTCTCTCGTCACCAAGAATTTATCAATAACTATCAAAAGCATGATTTGGAGTTGCCAGCAAAAATACTTTTGTAAACATATTCTTTATCAACGATGAAACCTAGCTTAACCTAACCTACTCTAACCGTGCCGTGAAGCTGTGGAATGTTCCACGTCACATAACGTTTGAGCACAAAGTCTCACCGTCGAATTTCAACATTAATTGCGCTTCTTTGTTTACGTCGATGATATTGCAAATGTGTTTATGCAACTTCGCTAAAACGTTCCTTACTCAGCACTTGTAACTAATCGTAAACAGGTGACCCAAGCTATTTCGTGTAACATTTGCTCATTCAAGGAAATAATTATGAAATCAGATTACTGCTTAGAAGGAAAGCACTTATAGCATGAATTAGTCTTGGGCCATTCTCTACTGAATTTGTAATGGTACAGGGAATGGCTCGTATAATATATGTTTATTATAGAATAATATTACATTTATGATATATATTACAAATATTATTTGCCTTTCTAATGATTATTTTGTTTTCTCTCTTAATACATTCCATATTTCATGTTTGATATTGTTTTCTCCGTTTTATGTTTTTAATGTAATAAATTGTAATATTTCATTGATTTTCGTAATTTTAATTATGCACAATTGAAACATCGGTTTCCAATAAATGGTAGAATGGTAGAATGGTGTGTGTAATGTTAATTAATAAATGAATTAATTTATTGTAAAGTTTGCTGTCCTCATGCACTGTTCATTGTTTATACTCTATCCCAGATGAAGAAATTAAATATTTCGAAACGATGGTGCAAATAATTGTTTCTCTACACACAATGATCAATCCCGTGAACCAATTTTCTTTTATTAATCAACGATCCCTTTTCTACAATGGTTTATTACAGCTGTTTACTTCAGAGCAAAGGCAGAAGCAGAATTATGTATTCAAATATTTCCGAAGAGCAATGTCGATAGGTTTTGTAGAATCGCATATGTTGGCGCGATTCCGCGCCAGCACACTTATTGAGTTATTTCGCCTTTTTGCGTTCAATTTCGAAACTCAGTTTTGAACTAGTGTTTTTTAATGTATCCTGATGGTAGGTGCGGTAATTTGGTGAGAATTCATAGAGTACTGACTTCCAAATACTTTTCAATTACCATTATACATATTCTAGGCAAATGGAAGATACAAACCAGACAATCTTCATCTAATGTTTTTGTTCTCCCATAACCCTAGAAAAATAATGTAAAAATCAATATAGCATTCAAGAGATCAAGAAATTACCCGTAGATTTTATTCAGTCAAGGCCTCTTAATGTGGCAGAAGTGGAAAGTGATTATTAAGAAATATGACAAATAATATAAAATATATAAATATAATTACATTGTATTTTGTAAGCAGTTAATATACATTTATAAAAGTTATAAAACACATATTTAAAGTTTAAATATGAAAGATTGATAATTGAATAAGAAGTCAAATAACTTTGTACGTTACCTTTGCGACTACATTTACAAAATAATTATGTCCCAAATGTGAATTTTCGAAAGATTCCGTTAGTTAAATAAGCAAATAATTGTGTACGTACACCAACATAGTGCAATTTCCAAGCTAAGATGTTCTTACCGCAAATGAAAATACTACATGGTAAAAAATATAGTAGAAATGCAGGAAAGTGGGGAAAAGTAGAACTACGTGGCAAAGTGAAATTTGCATTCAAAACCCACAGATTTGGAACCATTCAATTCTAGAACAAGTTTTTTTCGAGATGATTGTGCGAAAGTATAATGGAGCTAGCATATCAACAGAGCGAATTATTGCAGGTTTTCGGATCTTCCTCTGTGCCTTACGAAAACGTAAGTAATGCTAAACATTGTCTTTGGAATAACAATGCAGAAGTACTAAATTATGTGAAGTAAAAATTTAATGCCTTAGTTTTATAAGTTAATGTTTCATATCTTTTCGATTTCTCAAAGAAAAGCAAGGAGAATGTAATTAGTTTGAACCATTTTGTGCTAATGGTTTTGTGCTTTGGTTAGCGTGCTCGCTTTTTACGGTGCAACGCCGGCTTTCATTCCCAGTGGGAACAAAAACTAATTGTGCGCTTTCCTAGCAATGTGCCAGTATCTGATGCTGAGTGACGATGAAAAATATTACTTTTCAAGTTGATAATACCATAATACAGCGTAATATAGGTGACATAAATACCAAAAAGTATTCGCTACGCATTTAATACCAAAGTTAAAATTTGGCGATTTCACTCATCAATAAAGCAACAATATTGACTGCCCCTCCATTACCAAGATATTTCCTGATAAATAATTTTGATAAAAAAAGCCACAAAAAGTTTTCACAGTCGTACACCAACAGGGGCGTACGAGACAACGACGGATCCCAGAAGGCACTCTTCTCTCTCGTTGTTTAGGTAAGTATTCACTGTTTCATCGTGTAGGACTTTTATTACGAGAACCTTACTGAGATCTTAGTGATTAGTAGTTTCGTCTTTTAAAGATTTTCGGATGATTACAAAACATTAGAACCTTAGAAAATTAGAATTAATTACTACGCACGTTTCTTAAATTCGGAATCCATACCATATCCCATGTACAACCTGAATTCTGAATACTCATGGAAATGAACATTTATGCGCACATATGCATGCCAAGATTTGATAAGAAGCTTTCACTACAAGGTAATAAAATGTATTAGCCTTTCGTGAAGGAATCGGCTTTCTGCCGTAAGAACCTGGAGAACGATAATTTGAATTACTGTGTTTCCTACAGAACTCTAGAAGACGTGCATAAATACTGAAGTTATATTTATGTTCAGAAACAAATATGAGCATTGGCCCAAAGTATCGGGGAATCTGATCGAGATCGCGGTCATTGACCTAGTTAGTCTCTAATTGTATATAGGCATATAGTTTCTAATTGTATAGAAGCAGATATGCAGATATGCAACACAACAGATTTTCGAATTTAATCATTTAATGTCTTCTGGCAATGTGTTGTAAAATAATGTACTACGTGCATTCTATGTGAAGTTTATTTACTGAGCTGTTGATAGCTAATGAATATGATTACTGTGTCGTGTGTTATAGTTATAAATATGGGTATTTGCTGAAAATATGTTCACATATTTTAGTAAGTCATTTTTTACATAAACCTGTGATTCGTAAATCGTGAGGCAAAGTTATAAGAGAATTCATAGCTTAATACAGCCATATTTACAAGAATCATGTGGGTGAGATTTGCTTTGCTCGAAAACGTTTTTTGTAATCTAAAAGTCTGCAAGCTATTGGATGTGTTTCCCCAAAATATTAGGACATATCTCACGTAGGAATGAACATTCGTGAAATATACACAATGACACAATGAACAGTGGAAGGTGGACTGAATTTCAAAGAATAGGAAAATTAAATACATTTTGCGTTCAATTCATTGCGCTCAGCGGTATTTTCTTATCTCTTAACTTATTTTGGTATCTGTCAATATAGATAACAGTCGTGCAATTAAAAAAGTTGTAAATGTTGAACTAATTATTCAATAAAATGATATTGCCATTTGTGTCTGTTCAAAACATTGAGTGACTTTCAACAGCAAAATGCTCACTTATTGCCCAAGATTGAGTCTACGTTAAAAACGAACTGAAACACAACCTCATGAGACGCTATTTCTATCCCTTTGTGATAGACGGCAACACAATTACAAGCATATAATAATGGTTTCTTGTTGAAAATTTGTTACATTTTTTCTAAAACGGAAGCAATGAAGGAAGATCATTTTATCATTGTGCTACATCGTACTGCAGTTTTTCAATAGTTTCTAGAGTAAGCAAATCTATATAACTGTTAAATATTATTGCCTTAATAGTTTTTCATTTTCTTTGTGAAAAAAGGGGAAAATTAGTTTATGTATTAGACTGGCGATAAGTAGAATCGGGGGAAATTTATTTGTGGGAAAAGAAATGGGATTATGTATATATTTTTTGTTGAATGAGGCGCGGATCATGTGTTTGTCTTTTAATTTTTAAGTTCTTTAGAGAGCTGTATTTGTACGAACTGAAAGCACGAGTGTGATCACTGTCTTCTGAAAAGACAGTATAATAAGACGAAGAGACACGTTTACTCAATTTCACTGCCATTGTACGTGAGCGAAAGAGCAGCCCCAACGTCAACAAACGAGCTGGAATCTTCGCAGACGCCTGCAACGTCTCATAACAACGACACTTCTTTTTGTAGAGCTGAAGCGTCCGAAAGTTATATGCAACGGCTTGCCGAAGACGCTTGCCAACGACGCTTGAATCAGATGCTTGCCAAAGGGCCTAGGTGATCGGTGAGGTAACACGGTGTTTGAATTGTTCAGCAATGCGAAAAGAATAAGAGATGATGAAATGGTGAAGATGTTATTCTACGCACGTAGGGATGTAGAGAGACTATGAAAAGACTTCTCCGACCGACGGAGTTGAAGACACCTAGCTCAGCAGAGTATTCAGAAGCAGGATTACGAGCGAAAAATGGAAGATATAGTAATTTTAAAGAGGCAGTGGGAGACTCACAATTACTCAAACACTATACTTCGGCACCCCCCCCCCCGCCGAAAACAATTGGAAGCAAACTTGTACCTCTTGCTCTACCCAAATTTGTTTTTGCACCCAAAAATAATTAAGATCCGGGCAATTTGAAGTGGGAGTGTGTGCCTCTTATCATCACCACTGCCAAAAAAATGGAACCATCCAAAATCGTTTGCAACACGTTTGTTCCACCAAAATGTTTGTTGGTTACAAAAAAAAACCGGAAAAGATACGGCTATTTGAATATGGCTTTACTTTTACCACCATCAGTACAACAGTAAAATCTTGGAACCAACCTAAATCGTTTGTTCCGAATTGTTCGTTCAGGTTTTTGGTTTTCGCAAAAAGAAAAAAGCTGTAGCCAATTACTAATTCTTGGTATTGGCACAGCAGGTCTAGTAGACCTGTGAGTTTTAAAAACTAAGAATCATGTTGGGCTGTGGGCGTAAGTTTACGCGATCTGGTGCCACAATGTGTTGGTCGGTTTTCTTCTGGTTGCAAAGTCAGCACCAGATAAGACGGAGGACGAGAGGTTCCGTTGTTCCTCTTTCCCACAGCGCGCCAGGCGTGGGACTGCCCGCCCACCTAACAGCGTCGTCTGCAATTCGGAGAACAATTTGGAGCCGTTGCATTGCGAACAGTTCTAGGGCTTCAGCTTACATGTGGTCTTCTTATGTTAGCAGGTGTTAGAGTGAGAAAATATTGTATCCTAATTCTATTGTTCGTTATATAAGTACCGAGAGAGATGGCACAGGGCATCAACTGATGTCACTGCAGGCCCTCTGACCGGGAGGTCCTTGGTTCGAGTCCCGACCGTGGCAGTTTTTCCGACACTATCTAGTCAGCTAGCTCGAATTCAGTCACTGCGAGGAGAATTCTAGAGGTCGGCTGCTCTGATCAGTTGTTTTCGGTGGTTTCTCCGATCAACACCAGGCGAATGCCGGAGCAGTACCATAACGAACGGGCCATGGATCGTGCGCGATCTTTCCTAACTCTTCCCTGTCCTATCCTCACCCTGTGCACACACTTACACTATCATTCACTACTCTACCACACATGCCGGCAGACCAGTCGGGAGCTTAAGCTTGTCCCGGCTTTGGGCGGTGACACGCTGGTGGGAGATATCTGGTTGGGGAAACATCGCTACCTGACGGTAGGTCGGCGCCAGATCTCACCATACAGCGGTGGCAGACCATCTCTACCTCCAAATACATTACACTTACGGACAGAAAGAAATACACTACACTTACGGGATTAATAATCCTATTAGTTGACGCCCGGAATCACTAACAATCAATCAATCAATATCAGTAAACGTGTTTCATCTGTAAATGGCAGATGATGTAGGAAATGTAAAGAAAACGTCTTTTAGCAGACTTGTCGGAGAAAAACTTTGGAAAATAAATCCGATTGTTAATAGAAAGATAATGTTGAAGAAAAGTTTGGGTATATAGATATGGATCATGAGGTACCAAATATAATTTAGAATAATATCATGGTTGCAGGAATAACAATGTACCCGTATGTCAAGCAGCTGTCCTGGTCAAGGTCCTGCTACAGAGCGTGTGGTTCGAAGATCTGCATCTGAAAAGTGAACAAAAATGGAATCCTGTTGTTTACGTCTGGAAAAGACTTCGATAACCACGAAGTTTTATATAAA